CATCCTTGTGGTATCCCTCTCACAACATCCCATCCTTGTGGTATCCCTCTCACAACATCCCATCCGTGTGGTCTCCCTCTCACATCACATCCATCTAGTCTCTCCTCACAACATATCCTTGTGGTATTCCTCTCTCAGCATCACATCATTGTGGTCTCCCTCTCACAACATCACATCATTTTGGTCTCTATTTCACAAAATCCAATCCTTCTAGTCTCTCCTCACATCATATCTTTGTGGTATCTCTCTCCTCAAATCACTTCATTGTGAACTCCCTCTCACAACATCACATCATTCTAGTCTCTCCTCATATCACATCCTTGTGGTATCACTCTCCTTACATCACATCCTTATGGTCTTCCTCTTCAAACATCAAATCTTTGTGGTATCCCTCTCACAACATCCCATCATTGTAGTCTCCCTCTCACAACACCGCATCATTGTGGTCTCCATTTCACAAAATCCCATCTTTGTGGTCTCTTTCTCACATAATCCCCTCATTGTGGTCTCCCTCTCACAACATTCCATCCTTGTGGTATCCCTCTTTAGACATCACATCTTTGTGGTATCAGTCTCCTAACATCACATCCTTGTATTATCAATCTCACAACATCCCATTCTTGTGCTATCCCTCTCACAACATCTCATCCTTGTAGTATCAATCCCACTTCACATCATTGTTGTTTTCCTCCCACAGAATCACATCATTGTGAACTCCCTCTCACAACATCACATCATTGTGGTATCCCCCTCACAACATCACATTATTGTGGTCTCCCTCTCACAAAATCCAATCCTTCTAGTCTCTCTTCACATCACGTGCTTGTGGTATCCCTCTCCTCACATCAAATCACATCCTTGTTATCTTCACTCTCACAAAATCACATCCTTGTGGTATTCCTCTCCTCACATCACATCCTTGTGTATCCCTGTCTCAGCATCACATCATCGTGGTCTCCCTCTCACAACATCACATTCTTGTGTATCCCTCTCTCAGCATCACATCATCGTGGTCTCCCTCTCACAACATCACATCATTGTAGTCTCCCTTTCACAAAATCCAATCCTTCTAGTCTCTCCTCACATCCTTGTGGTATCCCTCTCCTCACATCACATCCTTGTGGTATCCCTCTCCTCACATCACATCCTTGTGGTCTACTTCTCCAAACATCACATTCTTGCCGTATTCCTCTCACAAAATCCCATCATTGTGGTTCCCTTTCACAACATCTCATCATTGTGGTCTCCCTCTCACAACATCCCATTATTGTGGTCTCCCTCTCACAACATCCCATCATTGTGGTCACCCTCTCCAAACATCACATCCTTGTGGTATCCCTATCACAACATCCCATCATTGTGGTCTCCCTCTCACAACATCCCATCATTGTGGTCTCCATTTCACTACATCCCATCATTGTGGTCTCCCTCTTACAACATCACATCCTTGTGGTATCCGTCTCACAACATTACATCCTTGTGGTATCCCTATCACAACATCACATCCTTGTTGTATCCCTCTCACATCACATCATTTTGGTTTCCCTCACAACATCAAATCATTGTGAGCTCCCTATCACAACATTACATCCTTGTGGTATCCCTCTCACAACATCACATCATTGTGAGCTCCCTATCACAACATTACATCCTTGTGGTATCCCTCTCATAACATCACATCATTGTGGTCTCCCTCTTATAACATCCCATCATTGTGGTATCCCTCTCATAACATCCCATCATTGTGGTCTCCCTCTCATAACATCACATCCTTGTGGTATCCTTCTCACAACATATCATTTTTGTGGTATCTCTCTCACAACATCACATCCTTGTGGTATCCCTCTCACAACATCACATCCTTGTGGTATCTCTCTCACAATATCACATCCTTGTGGTATCCCTCTCACAACATCACATCCTTGTGGTATCTCTCTCACAACATCACATCCTTGTGGTATCCCTCTCACAACATCACATCCTTGTGGTATCCCTCTCACAACATATCATTTTTGTGGTATCCCTCTCACAACATCACATCCTTGTGGTATCCTTCTCACAACATATCATTTTTGTGGTATCTCTCTCACAACATCACATCCTTGTGTATCTCTCTCACAACATCACATCCTTGTGGTATCCCTCTTTCAACATCCCATCCTTGTGGTATCCCTCTCACAACATCTCATCCTTGTGGTTTCCCTCTCACAATATTACATCCTTGTAGTATCCCTCTCACAACATTACATCCTTGTGGTATCCCTCTCACAACATCCTATTCTTATTGTCTATCTATCTCTCTCTCTCTCTCTCTCTCTCTCTCTCTCTCTCTCTCTCTCTCCCTGACAGACCCCCTGTACCTCTCTCTCTCTCCCTGACAGACCCCCTGTACCTCTCTCTCTCCCTGACAGACCCCCTGTACCTACAGGATACGGGCCGCCTACAGAGAGTCCGCTCCTTCAAGACCACATCCAAAGGTCTAGTCAACCACGGCGACTCCTTCAAAATGTCCAACAACAGGTCAGTGCACCTGTCTTCTGTTGTTGTACACTTTAAGATCTGATGTTGTACACTTTAAGTCTGATGTTGTAGAGTTTATATCTGATGTTGTAGAGTTTATGTCTGATGTTGTACACTTTATGTCTGATGTTGTACACTTTATGTCTGATGTTGTAACTTTATGTCTGATGTTGTACACTTTATGTCTGATGTTGTAACTTTATGTCTGATGTTGTACACTTTATGTCTGATGTTGTACACTTTATGTCTGATGTTGTAACTTTATGTCTGATTTTGTACACTTTATGTCTGATGTTGTAACTTTATGTCTAATCTTGTAACTTTATGTCTGATGTTGTAGAGTTCCTGTCTGATGTTGCAGAATTTATGTCTCATGTTGTAGAGTTCCTGTCCAGTATCTACCTAATGTCCATCTACCTGTCCTGTATCTACCTAATGTCCATCTACCTGTCCAGTATAAACCTAATGTCCATCTACCTGTCCAGTATCTACCTAATGTCCATCTACCTGTCCAGTATCTACCTAATGTCCATCTACATGTCCAGTATCTACCTAATATCCATCTACCTGTCCAGTATCTACCTAATGTCCATCTACCTGTCCAGTATCTACCTAATGTCCATCTACATGTCCAGTATCTACCTAAAGTCCATCTACCTGTCCAGTATCTACCGAATGTCCATCTACCTGTCCAGTATCTACCTAATGTCCATCTACATGTCCTGTATCTACCTAATGTCCATCTACCTGTCCAGTATCTACCTAATGTCCATCTACCTGTCCAGTATCTACCTAATGTCCATCTACCTGTCCAGTATCTACCTAATGTCCATCTACATGTCCAGTATCTACCTAATGTCCATCTACATGTCCAGTATCTACCTAATGTCCATCTACCTGTCCAGTATCTACCTAATATCCATCTACCTGTCCAGTATCTACCTAATGTCCATCTACCTGTCCAGTATCTACCTAATGTCCATCTACCTGTCCAGTTTCTACCTAATGTCCATCTACCTGTCCAATATCTACCGAATGTCCATCTACCTGTCCAGTATCTACCTAATGTCCATCTACCTGTCCAATATATACCGAATGTCCATCTACCTGTCCAGTTTCTACCTAATATCCATCTACATGTCCAGTATCTACCTATTGTCCGTCTAGCTGTCCAGTATCTAGTTGTCCAGTATCTAGTTGTCCAGTATCTAGTTGTTCAGTATCTAGTTGTCCAGTATCTAGCTGTCCAGTATCTAGCTGTCCAGTATCTAGCTGTCCAGTATCTAGCTGCCCAGTATCTAGTTGTCCTGCATCTAGTTGTCCAGTATCTAGTTGTCCAGTATCTATTTGTCCAGTATCTAGTTGTCCAGTATCTAGCTGTCCAGTATCTAATTGTCCAGTATCTAGTTGTCCAGTATCTAGCTGTCCAGTATCTAGTTGTCCAGTATCTAGCTGTCCAGTATCTAGTTGTCCAGTATCTAGTTGTCCAGTATCTAGTTGTCCAGACAAAAAGCTGCTACTGTGATCTTCAACATTTTCTCCCCTAGCTTGATCTCCGCCGGGAGTGTGGGCTCAATCAACGACCTGCCCAACAAGTCGGTCCGGCGGGCCAGCTACGTCTCTGAGGACAGCGGGCCGGACGAGACCCAGGAGACCGCCGCTGCTGCAGACGTTAACTTCTATAGGTATGCATCATCTTTATCATCATCATCAGTGTTGGCCTTGCCTGCACAAAAATAAAAATAACTAGCCCACATGACGCCTTGAAAACCCCCTTCCCCCCCCCCCCCCCCACCAAGCACTTAACATTGAGACAGAACACTCACCCCCTTGTTATAATTTTTCATTTTCTATTCTATGTTAAATCATAGTTCTGATGACCCTTGCCCCCTTATCTATGACCACATATCGCTGCCTAGCCATACACTAGCATAACCTCTGGTTCTTAGCTAACTACAAGCAACCAGTAGACTCAGGAGAGACATGATCGCCCACGCCCATCGGCATGACACCTGTTACTGATGACGCTTAACCACAAACTATTACAAGGGATAAAGGCTTTCTGAGATTACACGGACGGGGAAGTAAAACACAGAATCCAGACTCAGTCAACGGGCGAAAAAGGGGGGGTGGGGGGGGGTGGGGGGGGGAGGTTCGGGGAGATATTCAACACTGACTTGGAAATAAAGGCGGACTTTCAATCAGGTTGAGACTGGTAATATTAGCATGCCTATCTTTTATTAGTTACTGTGGAAGGAGACGGTGTCAGTTCATTCATTCATTCATTCATTTACTCATTCATTCATTTATTTATTCATTTATTCATTCATTCATTTATTTATTCATTCATTCATTCATTCGTTCATTCATTCATTCATTCATTCATTCATTCATTCATTCATTCATGCCTTTACTCATTCATTCATTCGTTCCTTTATTCATTCTGTCCCCGGCATGTCTCCTCTGACAGGGTGTTGATGATGGGAGCGCCAGGGGTGGGTAAGACGGCCTTGACCCGACAGTTCATGACCTCGGAGTACAAGGGCACTTACGCGGAAGCAAATACACGTAAGTATTCTCTGTCTGTCTGTCTGTGTGTCTGTCTGTCTGTATGTCTGTCTGTCTGTGTATCAGTCTGTCTGTATGTGTCTCTCTCTCTCTCTCTCTCTCTCTCTCTCTCTCTCTCTCTGTCTCTGTGTGTGTCTCTATCTGTGTCTGCCTGTTTGTGTTTCTCTCTCTTTGTCTGTGTGTGTGTATCTCTGTGTGTCTGTCTGTCTGTGTATGTCTCTCTCTCTGTGTCTGTGTGTGTGTGTGTATCTGTCTGTCTGTCTGTCTGTCTGTCTGTCTGTCTGTCTGTCTGTCTGTCTGTCTGTCTGTCTGTCTGTCTGTCTGTCTGTCTGTCTGTCTGCTTGTCTGTCTGTCTGTCTGTGTCTCTCTATGCGTGTCTGCCTGTCTGTGTGTGTCTCTCTGTGTCTCTCTGTCGGTCTGTGTATCTGTCTGTCTGTCTTTATGTCTGTCTGTGTGTCTGTCTGTCTGTATATGCATGTATGTCTACCTGTCTATCAACCCTCACACACATGAAGCATACTATTTATAAAATCATTACATATCGCAATCCAAACACTTACATATTTGCATACACACACACACATAACCACACACATACACACAACACATACACACACACATGAAGCATACTATATATAAAATCATTACATATCGCAATCCTAACACTTACATATTCGCATACACACACACACACATAACCACAACACACACACACACACACACACACACATAACCACAACACACAACACACACACACACACACAGATCTAGCACTGCCTACAGAAGAGAAGTCTGGTTATGGTTGTGTGTGCACATATCACCGGGAAAAACAACTTCTCCCAGGCAATCTGATACAGTGGAGCCAAAAGGGGGGGGGGGGGTATCGGAGCTGTGAAATAGCCGAGCTAGGGCCGGCTCATGCGGCTGCTGGGAGACAACACATTGTTAAACGGCAGCGAAGGGTTGCTATAAAACAAACCTAGTGATGGATCAGCTATATGTGCACCTGACAGGGATGGATCAGCTGTGTGTGCACCTGACAGGGATGGATCAGCTGTATGTGCACCTGACAGGGATGGATCAGCTGTATGTGCGCCTGACAGGGATGGATCAACTGTATGTGCACTTGACAGGGATGGATCAGCTGTATGTGCACCTGACAGGGATGGATCAGCTGTATGTGCACCTGACAGGGATGGATCAGCTGTATGTGTACCTGACAGGGATGGATCAGCTGTATGTGCACCTGACAGGGATGGATCAGCTGTATGTGCGCCTGACAGGGATGGATCAGCTGTATGTGTACCTGACAGGGATGGATCAGCTGTATGTGCACCCTTCAGGGATGGATCAGCTGTATGTGCGCCTGACAGGGATGGATCAGCTGTATGTGCGCCTGACAGGAATCAGTCTCCGTACCAGCTGGTGCCGGTGCCCCGTGAGATGTTGGGGGGGGGGGGGGAGGTCAGGTTCGGCTACTTCATGTGGGACCAGCGTGGAAACTTGCAACAGTTGATTTGTCATCACGGGCCACGTGATCAGCATTTGGAGAATATCGCAGGATCTTTCTGAATTCGCTAGTGTCAGTCAGGCTGGTGTCAGTCAGTCAGGCTGGTGTCAGTCAGTCAGGCTGGTGTCAGTCAGTCAGTCAGGCTGGTGTCAGTCAGCCAGGCTGGTGTCAGTCAATCAGGCTGGTGTCAGTCAGTCAGGCTGGTGTCAGTCAGTCAGGCTGGTGTCAGTCAGTTAGGCTGGTGTCAGTCAGTTAAGCTAGTGTCAGTCAGTTAGGCTGGTGTCAGCCAGTTAGGCTAGTGTCAGTCAGTTAGGCTAGTGTCAGTCAGTCAGGCTGCTGTTAGTCAGTCAGGATGGTATCAGTCAGGATGGTATCAGTCAGGATGGTGTCAGTCAGTTAGGCTAGTGTCAGCCAGTTAGGCTAGTGTCAGTCAGTTAGGTTACTGTCAGTTAGTTAGGCTGGTGTCAGTCAGTCAGGCTGGTGTCAGTCAGTCAGGATGGTATCAGTCAGGATGGTGTCAGTCAGTCAGGTTAGTGTCAGTCAGGCTGGTGTCAGTCAGGCTGCTGTCAGTCAGTTAGGCTGGTGTCAGTCAGTCAGGCTGGTTTCAGTCAGTCAGGATGATATCAGTCAGGATGGTATCAGTCAGGATGGTGTCAGCCAGTTAGGCTAGTGTCAGTCAGTTAGGCAAGTGTCAGTCAGTTAGCCTAGTGTCAGTCAGACTGGTGTCAGTCAGTCAGGTTAGTGTCAGTCAGGCTGCTGTCAGTCAGTTAGGCTGGTGTCTGTCAGTCAGGCTGGTGTCAGTCAGTTAGGCTGGTGTCAGTCAGTTAGGCTAGTGTCAGTCAGGCTAATGTCAGTCAGGCTGGTGTCAGTCAGGCTGGTGTCAGTCAGTTAGGCTAGTGTCAGTCAGTTAGGCTGGTGTCAGTCAGTTAGGCTGCTGTCAGTCAGTTAGGCTAGTGTCAGTCAGTCAGGCTGGTATCAGTCAGGCTGGTGTCAGTCAGTCAGGATAATGTCAGTCAGTTAGACTAGTGTCAGTCAGTAAAGCTAGTGTCAGTCAGTTAGACTAATGTCAGTCAGTTGAGCTAGTGTCAGTCAGTTAGGCTAGTGTCAGTTAGTTAGGCTGGTGTCAGTCAGTTAGACTAGTGTCAGTCAGTTAAGCTAGTGTCAGTCAGTTAAGCTAGTGTTAGTCAGTTAGGCTAGTGTCAGCCAGTTAGACTAGTGTCAGTCAGTTAGGTTACTGTCAGTTAGTTAGACTGGTGTCAGCAAGTCAGGCTGGTGTCAGTCAGTCAGGATGGTATCAGTCAGGATCGTATCAGTCAGGATGGTGTCAGTCAGTTAGGCTAGTGTCAGCCAGTTAGGCTAGTGTCAGTCAGTTAGGTTACTGTCAGTAAGTTAGGCTGGTGTCAGTAAGTCAAGCTGTTGTCAGTCAGTTAGGCTAGTGGCAGTCAGTTAGCCTAGTGTCAGTCAGGATGGTGTCAGTCAGTCAGGTTGGTGTCAGTCAGGCTGGTGTCAGTCAGGCTGCTGTCGGTCAGTTAGGCTAGTGTCAGTCAGTTAAGCTAGTGCCAGTCAGTTAGGCTAGTGTCAGTCAGTCAGGCTGGTATCAGTCAGGCTGGTGTCAGTCAGTCAGGCTGGTGTCAGTCAGGCTGGTGTCAGTCAGGCTGGTGTCACTCAGGCTGGTGTCAGTCAGTTAAGCTGGTGTCAGTCAGCTGGCTAATGTCAGTCAGTCATGCTGGTGTCAGTCAGTCAGTCTGGCTGGTGTCAGTCAGTCATGCTGGTGTCAGTCAGTCAGTCAGGCAGACTGGTGTCAGTCTGGCTTGTGTCAGTCAGGCTGGTGTCAGTCAGTCAGGCTGGTTTCAGTCGGCCAGGCTGGTGTCAGTCAGGCTGATGTCAGTCAGTCTGGTGTCAGTCAGTCAGTCAGGCTGGTGTCAGTCAGTCAGGCTGGTGTCAGTTAGGCTGGTGTCAGTCAGTCAGGCTGGTGTCAGTCAGGCTGGAGTCAGTCAGTGAGACTGGTGTCAGTCAGTCAGTCAGGCTGGTGTCAGTCAGTCAGTCAGGCTGGTGGCAGTCAGACTGGTGTCCGTCAGTCAGTCAGGCTGGTATCAGTCAGTCAGGCTGGTGTCAGTCAGTCAGGCTGGTGTCAGTCAGTCAGGCTGGTGTCATTCAGTCAGGCTGGTGTCAGTCAGACTGGTGTCAGTCAGTCAGGCAGGTTGGTGTCAGTCAGTCAGGCTTGTGTCAGTCAGGCTGGTGTCAGTCATTCAGTCAGTCAGGCTGGTGTCAGTTAGGCTGGTGTCTGTCAGGCTTGTGTCAGTCAATCAGTCAGGCTGGTGTCATTCAGTCAGTCAGGCTGGTGTAAGTTATTCAGTCAGGATTGTGTCAGTCAGTCAGGCTGGTGTCAGTCAGTCAGTCAGGATGGTGTCAGTGAGGCTGGTGTCAGTCAGTCAGGCTAGTGTCAGTCAGTGAGGCTGGTGTCCGTCAGTCAGTCAGGCTATTATTATAGCACTTGAACATGGCGTTAGAAAGCAAGTGGGTGTGAAGTGGTGGTAAAGGCCCAGCGAGTGAGCGAATGTGTGAGTGTGTAGTGTCTGATATATGTTACATCTGGTTTAGGGAAGTGGGTGTACTGTCGTGTGTGATATATGTTACATCTGGTTTAGGGAAGTGGGTGTACTGTCGTGTGTGATATGTGTTACATCTGGTTTAATGAAGTCGGTGTACAGTGTATGTCTTATATTTTACATCTGATTTAGGGAAGTGAGTGTACTGTCGTGTGTGATATATGTTACATCTGGTTTAGGAAAGTGGGTGTACTGTGTGTGTGATATGTGTTACATCTGGTTTAGGGAAGTGGGTGTACTGTGTGTGGGATATATGTTACATCTGTTGTAGGGATGTTGGTGTACTGTGTGTGATATAGGCTATGTTTTGTTTATGGAAGTGGGTGTACTATGTGTGTGATATATGTTACATCTGCTGTAGGAAAGTTGATGTATTGTGAATGATATAGGCTACATTTTGTTCAAGGGAGTGGGTGTACTATGTGTGTGATATATGTTATATCTGGTTTAAAGAAGTAGATGTTTTGTGGGTGAAATGTTTCGTCTGGTTCAGGGAAGTGGGTGTACTGTGTGTGTGATATATGTTACATCTGGTTTAGGGAAGTGGGTGTATGGCGTGTGTGATACATCTTGCATCTGGTGTAGGGAATTAGGTGCACTGCGTGTGTGATAGCTTACATCTGGTGTAGGGAAGTGGGTGTACTGTGTGTGTGATGCATGTTACATCTGGTGTAGGGAAGTGGGTGTACTGTGTGTGTGATGCATGTTACATCTGGTGTAGGGAAGTGGGTGTACTGTGTCAGGTCACAGCAGCTTGTCTCCTATGCTCCTGCGGCACCTCAGATATCAGGTGTTTGCCTCACTCAAGCTGAAAGTCGCTTCTGTCAACAAGTTTGCCTAGATGCACGTTCCTGGATTATTTGCCAGCTACAACGCGTCAGTGTGCCACAAACAATTATTTTGATTGAAGTTATTCCAGCAATGCCACATTCACCCCAATTTTCCCACTATATGTGGTGATGTGTGCTATCTAAACACTGAGGTATACTATGTGGTGATGTGTGCTATCTAAACACTGAGGTATACTATGTGGTGATGTGTGCTATCTAAACACTGAGGTATACTATGTGGTGATGTGTGCTATCTAAACACTGATGTGTGCTATGTGTTGATGTGCTCTATCAAAAGACTGATGTGTACTCTGAGGTGATGTGTGCTATCTAAAGACTGATGTGTACAATGTAGAGATTTGTGCTGTCTAAACACTGATGTGAACTATTCAGAGATGTGTGCTTTCTAAACACTGATGTGTACTTTATGTGGTGACATGAGCTATCTAAACACTGATGTGTACTATATGTGGTGACATGCGCTATCTGAACGCTGATGTGTACTATATGTGGTGACATGCGCTATCTAAACACTGATGTGTACTATATGTGGTGACATGCGCTATCTAAACGCTGATGTGTACTATATGTGGTGACATGCGCTATCTAAACACTGATGTGTACTATATGTGGTGACATGCGCTATCTAAACGCTGATGTGTACTATATGTGGTGACATGCGCTATCTAAACACTGATGTATACTATATGTGGTGACATGCGCTATCTAAACACTGATGTATACTATATGTGGTGACATGCGCTATCTAAACACTGATGTATACTATATGTGGTGACATGCGCTATCTAAACACTGATGTGTACTATATGTGGTGACATGCGCTATCTAAACGCTGATGTGTACTATATGTGGTGACATGCGCTATCTAAACACTGATGTGTACTATATGTGGTGACATGCGCTATCTAAACACTGATGTATACTATATGTGGTGACATGCGCTATCTAAACACTGATGTGTACTATATGTGGTGACATGCGCTATCTAAACGCTGATGTGTACTATATGAATGGTTGTGTACTGTCTAGAAGCAGGTGTGTGAACAGTTGGTACGATAACTAAAGGTTTGTTCTTGGCTCAA